AATGGGGGCCAGGCTGCCAAACAGCCCAGATGGATTGGTTTCCCCCTCAGACTGAGCTACTCCTTGAAAATGAAATTCTTTCAGGCACATGATGAGACACATTGCTCAATATTTGCTGAACCCATTAATGTGAGTTCTGTTTCTCAATCCTTTGGCCTGTATTTGGGGCCAGGATGGGGGCTCCAGGGTGGAGGCTGCAGCCTATGTGGACAGGAGGGAGCAAGGAGGATTCACATTTCATGCGGGGCCCCTGGGCCTCGGTGCTGGGAGCATGCGTACTGTCCATTGCAGTCTCTGGGTGACCCCCCTTCCCCTGTTCACTATGGAAACCAGTGCCAGGACAGGCCTCTCCTCCTGGCCCCGAGTCTGCCAAGAACAGGCTACGCGCAGCTGTGTAACCTGTTTCACATTACAGAATTTGAAGCAACCCACCAGCAAAACAGCCCTCCCTCACCCAGAGATTCTGTTAGAACTTCTCCATACACTCCCTGCACCCATGGAGCCTGACTTGCAGAACCTTGATTTAAAGAGCAGCCCTTCATGAGTTTGTCTGGGAGATATTTTGTCAACTTCAGGCTTTAGTTTTGGAGCTTCTGGCCCTGAGATGACCGTCCCCATTGGAAGAGAGTCGACCTGAGAGAACCCAGAAAACCCAGTTTATCACTGGGGTTTTAGACCTGAATCTTGACCTTGAATTAAAGAAGTTGTGGAAGGCCCTGGCCGGGTGGCTCAGTTGGTTCGAGCATTGTCCCGATATGCCAAAGTTGTGGGTTCAATGTCCAGTCAGGGCACATACAAGAATCAACCAATGAATGCATAAATAAGTGGAACAGCAACCCGATCTTTCACTCTCTCTCTCTTAAAAAATGATAAATAAAAGGAAGCTGCAGATGCCTCATGAGTACAAGCTTTCTCTTCTCTCAGTGTTAACATCATGAAGATCTACGTCTCTGGTTGATGGGCAGACACCTTATTAGGCACAATCAAGCTACCGACCCCTCAATGATAATGTGCTCTCCACCTGAAGCCTATCCCAAGCTTTATTTTCCCCACCCTCCCTCTCCACAAATTTCCTTCTTGGTGAGAAATGGAGTCTCTCCAGTAGATCTTTTCCCGGGTAGAAACGGTATCACTTTAGCAGGTGTACAGTTGTGCTCCAAGGGTGGGCATCACCAGGTCTACCTTGAACTTGGGCATCAGTTCCAATGCTTTAACCCTCTGAGCATCACACCTCATAGCGGTCCTAACTCACAGGACCTGGTCAGAAGTGAGGTGGGAAGTGAGCTGTAGAAGGGTGGGGTCTACAGTTGACCGTGGGCAACTTCACCAGAATGAGGTCAAGTCCAGCTCAGGCAGCCACTGAAACCCGAGCAGCCCTCTGGCCAGGACTCTGATATCTCACTGCAGCAGGTGCTTTTGTAACTTTGTAATTGTTTTTATAATTGCCTTTATTTTTCATATGTAACTGTGCTCCTACTTCCACAATGGTCGTGCCCCAGTTTGAAACTGAATTTCATGAACCCATTAAATCCAGGAGGGGAAAATATGAGGATGCGATTATATAACCTTACAATGGCAAAAATTATGGCCCACGACCCAAGCTGAGATTTGAATAATTGTCTCAGCCCTGGCTGGTTTGGCTCAGCGGTTAGAGCATCGGCCTGCGGTCCTGAGAGACCCGTGTTCGGTTCCTGCTAAAAGTGCGTATCTCAGTTGCAGTTTGTCCCCAGCCCTGGTTGGTCCTGCGGGTGGCAGCCGGTCGATGTGTCCCTCTCATGTCGATGTTTCTCTCTCTCTCCCTGTTCCTCTCTCTCCCTCCCACTCTATCCGAACAAAAAATGGAAAAATGTCCTCGGGTGAGGATAAAAAAAATAGTAATAATTGTCTCAAATATTTTCATTAAATATACCTTAAATAGCCCTGGCCAGTTTGGCTCAGCAGTTAGAGCGTCAGCCTGCAGACCAGAGGGTCCCGGGTTCGGTTCCCGCTAAGGGCACGTACCTTGGTTGCAGTTTGTCTCCTGCCACAGTTGGGGTCATGTGGGTGGCAACCACTCAGTGTGTCTCTCTTACATCGATGTTTTTCTCTCTCTCTCCTCCCCGCCCTCTCCCTCCAGCTATATCTGAAGATAAATGGAAAAAAAAAAAAAAAGTCCTCGGGTGAAGATAAAAAACAAAACAAAACCTTAAATGGCCCTGACTGGTTTGGCTCAGTGGACCAAAGAGTCAAGGGTTCAATTCTGGTCAAGGACACGGACTGCGTTTGCCATTAGGTCTCCAGCCCTGGTTGGAATCGTGTGGGAGGCAACCAATCAATGTGTCTTTCTCACATCAATGTTTCTCTCTCACACTGATGTTTCTCTCTCTCCCCCTCCCACTTTATCTGAAGATAAATGGAAAAATATCCTCGGGTGAGGATAAACAAACAGAAAAATACATTAAATGAACAACTAGTTAACCCGAATAGTTAGAAACTAATAAATATCTAAGTGAAAGAAAACAAAGGAAATTCGTGGATATAAAATGCAAGAAATGAAAATTATCTTTAATGCCCTGGCTGGTTTGGCTCAGCGGTTAGAGTGTTGGCCTGCGGCCCAGAGAGACCAGGTTTGGTTCCCACTAAGGGCACGAACCTCAGTTGCAGTTTGTCCCCGGCCCTGGTTGGGGTGGTGTGGGAGGCGGCCACTTGATGTGTCCCTTTCATGTTGATGTTTCTTTCTCTCTCTCTCTCTCTCTCTCTCTCCCTCCCTCCCACTCTATCTGAACAAAAATGAAAAAATGTCCTCGGGTGAGGATAAAAAAAAAGAGAGAGAGAATTATCTTTAAGAAGAATATGGTGCCAGTTTGCTCAGTGGTTAGAGCATCGGCCTGTGGTCCAGAGAGAGCTGGGTTCAGTTCCTGCTAAGGGCACATACCTCGTTTGCAGTTTGTCCCCAGCCCTGGTTGGTCGTGCAGGTGGCAGCCACTCGATGTGTCCCTTTCATGTCGATGTTTCTCTCTCTCTCTCTCTCTTCCTCTCTCTCCCTCCCACTCTATCTGAACAACAACAAAAAAAAATGGAAAAAAAAAAGAATATGGTCAATACATTGATGCAGAGCCATTTTTAAATAATAAAAAATAACACAACTGACCAATTCTGTAAGATGTACTAGAAAAATAGACATCTATAAATTAAAGAAGGGGAAAATGATAAATAGGAACAATCCAGCTAAGATATATCTGAAAGATATGTAGGAATTGACCTTGTGAAGGAAAAAGTTAAGAAGTCCTGTTGGAGGAACCAGTGTGGGAATGATCCCCTAAAGGGGATGCAAGCAGGAAAATCCAAAGGAGAGAAGCAAATGGAAAAATGCTTCGAAGTCAACCCACCTGAGAAAAAATAAAGTGAGAAATGAGAAAGGGGATACAAGAAATGAAGAGAGGCCCTGGCTGGTTTGACTCAGTGGTTAGAGCACGGGCCTGGGAACCAAAGAGTCCCAGGTTCCATTCCAGCCAAGGGCATGTACCTCGGTTGCCATTCGTCCCTGACCCCGGTTGTGGTCATGCGGGAGGCAACCAATCAATGTGTCTCTCTCATGTTGATGTTTCTCTCTCTCTCTCTCCTTCCCACTCTGTCTGAAGATCAATGTAAAAATATCCTCAGGTGAGGATTAAAAAAAAAAGAGAAAAAGAGTACTAGAAATGCCGAGACAATACTGGAGCCCTGGCTGGTGTGGCTCAGTGGCTGGAGTGTCAGCCAGGAAGGGAAGGGTCTTGGCTTCGATTCCCAGTCCAGGGTACGTATCTGGGCTGCAGGTTTGATCCCAGGCCTGGCCCGTGAGGGTGCATGTGAGAGGCTACCAATTACTGTCTCCCTCTCTCTCTTTCTCTCTCTCTCTCTCTCCCCCCCTCACCCCCGCCCTCCCTTCCACTCTCTCTAAAAATGAATGGAAAAAATATCCTTGGGTGAGAACTAACCTAAAAAAAAAAAAGACAATATTGGATATAAGCTTTGGATTTCAAGAGACAATCGCCAGACTGGAGGTGGCCTATTTAAGACGCTGCTGGCTTGAGGAAGACCCTGAAGAGCAAGGCCCACCCGCTCAGACCAGGGGTGCCTCCCTGGGGGTCAGCTTTGTTATGTGCACTGCAGACCTGTCTTTGGAAACTGGAAATCAGTCTCCAATATGTTGCATCTCTTATTGTCGGTCATCTGAGAGAGACGACCAGGCATCTCTGGTACCTTGTTTGAAAAAAGTCTTGGGTGTGGCTGCCAACGTGGGGCTAGTCAGGTGCTGTGAGAAGGTGCAGGTGGAGTCCTGTGGGAAGGTGACACTTCTGCTTGAACAGAGTGGAGGTCGCCGCAGTCTTCCGGGGAGCAAGGTGCTGGGCAACCGGGAAAAACACACCATACAAGTTTGCGCCAATACAAATGTCAATCTTTGAATGATGGGATCTCAATGGAAAAATTAAAACCAAATCACAACGACCCAAGGGACATGAGAAACCAAAAATCCTTTGGGCGGGCCTCAAATTTTATCGCTATTTCTCTGGGTTCCCATCTCAGACAACCTTATCCCAACTGAGACATTTTCTTGCACACTCCCGACCGGCGGCTCGACGTAAACTCTCACACTCACTGTCAGGAAACCCAAGGGCACACCCCAGGCTGGGTCTTGCTCAGCTGTGAGGTGACTCTGCATCCATGCAGGGAGCGTTTCCTGGGAACCCCAACCTGGGCACCTCCGAAGTTAGTTAACACCTTACCTCTTGCATTCATTGCCTCCTGCTCCAGGGCTCACCCTTCTCCCTCCCCACCTCCCCAGGAGCTGCTTAGGGCACACAGATACCTGGGGTCACCGTTGCCATCATTCCAGCGCAGCCCCCACCCTCGGCGTGGCCTCGGTGCGCACCCGTCCCGTCGGGCCAGCGCCCCGCCCCCGGCTGCCCAGGGCGGCCGGCGGTCGCGCAGGCGCAGTGGCCCGTCCCGCCGCTGCCCCGCCCAGCCCGCCGCTGCGGAAGGCGCGGCGCGCAGCTACGCGCACTTCCTCTCCAGGAGTCCGCGGAGGGAGCGCAGACTCGAGGAGCTCCTGGACGCGGAGGCCGTGCCCTTGTCACTCCGAGCAGACATGTCCGAACAAAGTAAGGATGTGTGCGACCCCAACTTTGCAGCCGAGGCCTCCAACTCCGAGGTGTGCGGCAGCCCCGGGGTTCCTGGGGGGCCCCCAGCGCCCGCGTCTCAGGCCGCGACCCTCGCGGGGCTGGACAGCCCTCCTCCAGGCCCCAGCGACGCCCCTCCAGCCTCGCCGCCGCCCCAGCCCCCGAGCGATGAGGACGACCCGAAGGCGCTGCAGCAGGCCGCGGAGGAGGGCTGCGCGCACCAGGCCCCGAGCGCGGCCCAGCCCGGCCCCGCGCCGCCCGCCCCGGCCCAGCTGGTGCAGAAGGCGCACGAGCTGATGTGGTACGTGCTGGTCAAGGACCAGAAGAGGATGATCATCTGGTTCCCAGACATGGTGAAGGATGTCATTGGCAGCTACAAGAAGTGGTGCCGCAGCATCCTCAGGCGCACCAGCGTCATCCTCGCCCGCGTCTTCGGGCTCCACCTGAGGCTGACCAGCCTGCACACCATGGAGTTTTCGCTGGTCAAAGCGCTGGAGCCAGAGGAGCTGGAAAGGGTGGCGCTGAGCAACCGCATGCCCATGACAGGCCTCTTGCTAATGATCCTGAGCCTTATCTACGTGAAGGGTCGCGGCGCCCGGGAGAGTGCCGTCTGGAACGTGCTGCGCATCCTGGGGCTGCGGCCCTGGAAGAAGCATTCCACCTTTGGCGACGTGAGAAAGCTCATCACCGAGGAGTTCGTCCAGCAGCACTACCTGAAGTACCAGCGCGTGCCCCACGTGGAGCCACCCGAATACGAGTTCTTCTGGGGCCCCCGTGCCAACCGGGAAATCACCAAGATGCAGATCATGGAGTTCCTGGCCAGGGTCTTCAAGAAAGACCCCCAGGCCTGGCCTTCCCGATACAGGGAAGCTCTGGAGGAGGCCAGGGCTCTGCGGGAGGCCGCCCCCCCTGTCCCCTGCCCCCGCAACAGTGTCTCCGAGGACTAGCGAGGTCTGGAGGGAGACGCCTGGTTTCTGACCCTCACCAGGGTGGTGGAGGGTGGGGTGGGACATTAGAGTATTAAGGATTTCCAGTGCAGTATTTCACGTGTAACTTTTAAGTTTTCAGTACCGTGCTTTTATACCTTTTAATGCAATGTTGTATTCATCTCCGTACTATTCCGTAGTATGTAGGGTTTCTGCAAGTTTGTTTATAAGTAAGCTCTGTTGGTGCTTTCGCTTTTGTGCTACCTTTCTTGAATTTTTGTACCAGAGACGTGCTAAACTGATGAAATACATTGAGAAAATTTCCATCTTATTCTTTTATATGGGACGGATGATGTATGTGTATTGGGTAGACTGCTCCTGGAGAGTTTGAAAGGACTCAACAGCAAAGCCTAACCAAGAGAGAAGTCAAGGTCCCTTCTGTTTTGACCTCACCGAGCACAGGAGACATCCGTGTGGAGTGTGGTGACATGGACTGAGATGGTCTCACTGTGGGCACTTGGCACAGTTTACTAAACACAGGTTCCAACCCCACCATGAGTAAACTTTAAACAGTAAAGATTCTTGTGATACAATCATTTCTGGAAAAGTGTACTTTATCTTTTTAACAAAGTAATATGGGTTGGGAATGCGACAGTTTACAAAGTGTACAAATGCCACTATTTCATGGGGTGGGAAAATCACTAACCCCCACTCATAAATGTGTGAACTTGATAGTTCTGGTTTTTAAATGTAACTCGTGTTCAACACTTGGACAAGTACAGCAAAGTATAAAGAAAGCACAAATACTCATAATCACATCTCATAGAAATAACAGCTATTAATATTTAGGGTAATTTCTTCTTTGTGGTCACTTAAACGGTGAGGCATTGTGCTAAACCCTTTACATGTGTCTCCTTTTATTTAATCCTCACAATAGCTTTATGAGGCAGGCACTTATTACATCTGCACCATGGAGGAAGTACAGAAACAAAGTAGGTATTTAACTTTCCCTAGGTCATGAAGTGTAATGAGAGGAGGGGCTGGGGATTGAACCCAAACAGAATGGTACCAGAGCCTCTGCTTTTCCCCACCTGCCTACAACTGCCCCTGCCTCTGCCCTTGTAGTTTATTTCTTAAAATTTCACATTCAAGTCTCTACCCTTAGTTCCCTACCCTCATGCATGTGCGCACGGCTAAGGCTTTTATTTTTCTAATGAATCCTCGCAAGTTTTTAGAGAAAGCAATCATATTCTGATTGTACAAATTAAGAAAGTTTGTTTCAGAGAGATTAATGGACCTAACCAAGTCATACTCCTGCTTAACAGTGAAGCCAAGGTTTGAAACATGGTCCTCCCTTGAAGGCCTGAAGTGGAGGCGTCAGGAACACCTGGGAGAGGGAGGTTGGGGTGGGAAGGCTGCATGTTGGGACATCTGTGACCCAGCAGTTCTTGAATTGCAATTCACCACGAGGGAAACTTCAGAGGGTGGAGTGGGGTGAGGGTGGAGGTGAGGGGCGATGACTGGAGATAAACCCACGAAGATTTTAGTCTTGGGAAGGGGAGAAAGAGAAATGGACCTTGAATAAGACCTGAAATCCTTCACACTTCAGAAGATTGGAAAAAACCATTTGGTCAAAGTCATATTTGGGGAACATAAATAATCAGAGGAACACATCACCCCCAAAAGAACCAAACAGGAAGTTATATGTGGGTGAGGGAATTATATTCTGGGGTGGGAGCTAGGATTTCCAACACTTAATGGTAATACAAGCAGGTGGGGGCAGGTGTGGGGAGATGGAATCCACCCCGTTTAGTGGCTTCCCTGGGAAGTTGCCATGGTGGAGGGGCACATTTCAGCAAAAACTTCAGAAGTCACCTGACTTTGCTGCCACCTCTTACCCAGGGCCAAGGTGAGTGTATAGAAATTTTAGAACTGTTAAAAAACAATTACCTCTCCATCCCCCATCCCCACCCCAGTACATGGTCAGCCCCTCTGCCATCTTGGCACAGCCAGACCTAGAGGAAGAGACTTCCCTGGTGTGGAACAGACTTAATTCATAATGTCTGGTCCTGCAGGGTCAGCAGCTTGGACACAGGAAAAAAAACATTCAATGTCTCAGATTTTCATGCTAGGCTCAATTCAAAGTTTGTAGGGTTTGTCAAATATTTTCCAAAAGTTTCAACTACCATCTGTTCTATGTACCTATGAGTTTGTTCTTTTTCTTTTTCTTTTTTTAATCCTCACTCGAGGATATTTTTTCAAATATCTTCAGATAGAATGGTAGGGGGGAGAGAGAAAGAGAGAGAGAGAGGGAAAAATCAATGTGAGAGGGACACATTGACTGGCTGCCTCCCACACAACCCCAACCAGGGCCGGGGATGAACCACAACCGAGGTACATGCCCTTGACCGGAATCGAACCCATGACTCTTTGGTCCAAAGGCGAACTCTAACTGCTGAGCCAAACCAGCCAGGGCTGAGTTTGTTGTTTTCACTTATAAGTGATATTATGCTCTTAAATGTCATCCCTATTGTTGCAAATGGCACAATTTCCTTCTTTTCGTGGCTGAATGATATACATATATCTCCACACTGTTTTATTCATTCATCTGCCAACAAACACTCAGATGGTGTCCATGTCTTGGCTGTCACAGACAGCGCTGCAATGCGCCCGGGGGGTGCAGGTATCTTTTTCAGACAATAATTCTGTTCCCTTCGGATACATGTCCAGGAGTGGAATTGCTAGATAATATGATAGTTTTGTTTTTAATTTTTTGAGGAGCCTCCATACCGTTTTCCACTGTGGCTCCACCAATTTATAATCCCACCAACAGTTCACCAGGGTCCCCTTTTACCCACATCCTCACGCCAATGTTTATTTCTTATCTTTTTGGTAATAGCCATTCTAACAGGTGTGAGGTTATTTTATAAAAGGGGAAATACTGCAAATAACTAATTTCTTACTAGGTAAACGAGCCAAGGTCAGTGCTCCAAGATAACACAAATAGCAAGTGCAAAAGACTTTTAAAAATCCAATTGCACTTACTATTTTTAATTTTAGAGAGAAAGGAAGCGGGGAGAGAAAGAAACACTGATTTGCTGTTTCACTTATTTATGCATTAATGGGTTGATTCTTGTAGGTGTCCTGACCGGGGAATCGAACCTGCAACTCTGGCGTATTGGGAACATGCTCTAACCAACTGAGTTACCTGGCCAGGGTCAATTGCACTTATTATTAAGTCAAGATGTTTTTAGATGCTAACTGATCAAAGATATAACAACAGTCAGCACTCTGTACTGACAGGAGTGGAGAGAAACTGGCAATCTTATACCCTGCTAGAGTTGCATGAATGCATGCTTCCTTATGCATTCATTTGGAATGTATGTTGAGCACCTAACATGCAGTACTAGGAATCAGGATGCAATAGTGAACAGTCTAGGTGTCCTGTGCTCACAAAGCATGCAGTGCATTGAAAGAATCAGATGAACAAGAATTACATTTCAGGACAGTGAATGCCACTCTAGAAGTACAGAGGCTGAAGAGACTCAAACATGTGCACCCAACTCAGACGTTCCCAGAGAGGTAACATAAATTTGCATCTATCAGATAAGAGGAATGGTGGGAAGACTATACAGTGGAGGAGGGTTCTGTAAAAAAGTTTCTGGAAATCAACTGAAAAGGAGATGGGAAATCAATCTTAGGATGGACGAGAATCTAGAACATTGGAAAAGAGAAGAAAAATAGCATGCTGAAGAAACAGTCATCCTCCAAGACGTAGGCAATTTTAACCATAGGAAGATCCAACGGATTTAGAAGGAATTAATTATGTTGAAAGATTGTCTTCTTTTGAGTCAGCACATTCTTTCCTTTTTCTGGTTACTAATCTGGGGTCTAAAACATCCCTCCTTATCTCTTAATTTGCCACATTTTTCTTTTTTTCACCTACTGAGTGGTTCAGAGCCCTTAAGTACATGAGGCCTTATCATGTGTTGAAAGAATTTCACACTTCTCCACCCTAGCCAGTTTGGCTCAGTGGTTGGAGCATCGGCCTGCAGACCAAAGAGCAGAGAGTCCTGGGTTCGGTTCCTGCTAGGGGCACGCACCCCCCCCCCAAAAAAAAAAAAAAAAAGAATTGCACACCTCCCCTTATTAGCAGCCTGGGTGATTTTTTTTTTTTTTTAATCTTACAAGTTTTGCAATTTGCTTATATATATTTATTTAGTAGAGACTACTGCACTTTAACTATTGGCCACACCACACTGGGTGCTGGGCCCTGGCAACAAGGAGTTATACTGATAAAGAGACCACAACAAAAAGGAACACAAACATATGATCCATTAAGTACAAATTACACATTTAGATAAGACAGTGAAAGAAAGTAATTGGTTAGAGTGATAAAAAACAGCAGATAAGGGACCATGCTCAGGAAAAGAGATTTCTGCAAAGGTGAAATGCAAGCTGACTTCACTGATTAGGAAGGATCTAGCACATGACGGGCAGAAAACCCCAGCACGTATGGAGGCCGGAATTAATTACGTGCATCTGGGGTTTCTTTTCCTAGCATTATGGTTGAGCTGACCAGCGGGCAACACCCAACGCTCTTCTGATCTCATAACGGAAGAAACACAAGCTACATGTTTGGTTTACCAGCCTTTCAGCCACGTTCCACCCAAGAGCTATAAGGAAATATCTCCCTGTATTCCCCACCCCTCTTGCATCTTTACAGAGCATTTACAAGACCATAGGAGGGGTCTCAGGGGCCACTGTATCCAATCATAGCAACAAATGCGCCCCCAGCTCTTAAGCATTTTGATTTGAAGATGGAGCATCAATTTATGTTCTTGGTTTCTATGAACATTTTCATTAAACCACAGAAAACACAAAACTAAAGATTATTGATATCTTGTCCAGTCTGAACTGAACTTTGCTCATCTATATGTATATTTAGCAGACAGTGCAAATGCCAACTTGCTAATTCCATTTAGTCAATTAACTTCGTGCCAAAGAAAATATAAAGATCTTCCTTGCTTAATGCCCACCCCTCTGCATCTTTTGCACAGCACTGCTAAAATGAGGCGTGATATCCTTAGCCATAAATCTGAGGCTTTACTAAAGAAAGCTCTCTGTCACCTTCCAGTTTTCTGAAGAGGCAGAAACACTGGTGATATTGTTGTCTTTATAGGAAGGGAAGAGAATCTCCATACATACACGCCTTCAAGCTGTCTCATTGTTTCTGGCTATAGAAAATAGATCAAAATGTTGGGGCTGCCTTTAAACCAGATTTTCAAAGTATGGGAGAAAAGGAATATTTTTTTTTCTAATTTGGAAATACACTGAGGATAAGAATAAAGAAAAGGAGAACAATAAAACAGAGATTTGTGTGATGGTTTTCCCAAACTCTTGGTAATCTTAGAAGAGGTCATAAAGAGCCTAGGAAAAAATGAGTGATGGTGATGCTGTTTTTGTTGCAACAAAAACAGATACAGCAAAACAAACAAACAAACAAACAAAAATCCCTAAGAAACACCCACATCAAAAAACGGTTTTTATGGAGGGAGCAAACACTATATTAGAACGCTTAAAAAAAAGTAATCAG